GGCAAACAAGTTTTAGAACACCTCACACAGAATTAAATTTTCATCGAAGAATGCGTAAAAATGAAACACTAAGTTGAATTTCTCACAACTAAATAATGTTATTTTTAGAGTGATTTCCTATGTAACAAAATGATTAGTAGATGACGTCTTTCTGGTGGTTTGGCTCACCCTTGATCATTGTAGATATCGCAGTAAACTAATCCAATATAAATTGCTTCTTGATATGGTGACTGATAATTTGTATAACAAACTAACAAGCTATCAGTTCTGCTCTTCTCCTTCCGTGCTTTATGCAGGAGAAAAAAGCGCCCTCTTTCCTGCAATCCTACAAGATCAAAGTAGGTAATCCATCTAAACCTTCAATTGATAAAAATTGCCAATTGTCTGTGCAAATCTAGGTTTTATCGTAATGATGCATTTCTAGATGACAAATTTTTTACTTTAGACCAAAGTGACACCTCCCTATTCTTTAATTGCAGGGTTTAGACAATCCCCCAATGGATTGGAAAAACAGACCATGCAGCAAACTGCCAGCAACATTTGAACTTTCTAGTATTACTCGGAAGAGACGCCAACGTGAAACATGCGCGTCCCAACAGTGCACTATCAAAGTAGCAGGGGTGCCGGCCGGTACGTCACAGGACCTTTTGATGTACTACTTCGAAAACCCCAGACGATCAAACGGCGGTCCAGTGACTGGTATTGACATGAAACCTGACCTTCAAATGTGCCTGGTCACTTTTGAACTTCCTGAGGGTATGTTTAATTACCAGACGGTAGTTTCATTGTCATAGGTTAACCAATTACAGGGTGATGGTCTTAAAAGCTTCCCCTCCCGGCTCCAGAGGATCAAGAAAAGCCCGTTTTGAATGATAAGGTTAAGTGAAAGGGGCAGGGAGGAGCGGAACCCAGGAGAAAAACGTGGCGGAAACCCTTCGAGGGGAAACAGGGGCGGGAAGAGGGATTCCAAAGTCCCGGGAGCCGGTAAAGTTGGAGGAATTATAATATTACTTATTTGCAAAGTGAAAAGTACCAAGGAGTGGAAACAACTAAAGAAGGGACGCGAACTGGAATGACTCGCGTACGGAAAGCGGAAAGTTAAGACGCATTGCCTCCCTACCATTCTCTGCAAAAAATTCGTTAATAGAATAACAAAGGAAACAGTTTTATCTCACAAGTATCACGCTTGAAATTTGGCCGAGAAACAGCAAAAACGCCATGCCAGCAACGTTCTTGTAGCCAACAGTTTCCTCGGTAAAAATAAAAAATAATAATGAAAAAAATAACAGTACTTTACCATGTCGAATATGCATCACTTGCAGACGCGAAAAGAACAGCGGAGAACTCCCCACATAGTGTGGCTGGCCTGCGGCTCCATGTCTCTCTACTTGAGGAGCAGGAGAATGTCATTGCGGATGATCATGAGGAAGTTAGCGGCTCGGAAGAAGAGGCTGGCGCTGAAATTACAATAATTGCTAGCGGTATTCCACTTTCTAGCAGCGAGGACGCTGTGCGGTATTACTTTGAGAATTCAAGGAGATCAGGGGGAGGTGAAGTCTGCGACATTGATTTCACTCATGACGGGAAAGCTTTTATTACCTTTACTGCCGTGGAAAGTATGTATACTTACCGTCCTCGTAAACAAATGGTCGATGATATCATTTTGATACAATTCTCAATATAAACTTGACAGTCAAAATGCAATAGGCTCACTGCTGAACAACAAGAGATACAAATATCCTTAATAATCCTTTCTTTTACAAATTAATCATGCACATGGCTCGCTCATAAAGTTGAAACAACGAACCTTTTTGAAATTCTGTTTTACTACTGAATATGAGGTACTTGGTTATTCAAGCTATCAAAAATGCATCTTTGACTGCAAGTTACACGGATTAATGTATTCCACGAAGAAATTGCAGGAAAAATGGTCAATGGCTTGTACGTTTAGAATAAACCCACCCACAACAAAATTATAAATTTAGAAGTAAAAGTAATGTAATAGATTGGTTCAGTTTCCATGTTGTTGTTGTTGTTAATTTTTGTATTGCGCTTATCTCCCAACAGATTTACAAAAGCTCCTTCAAGCATCGCATTTCATAAATGGAAAGGCTATTTCAGTGGAAAGGCTACCACCAAAGAAAAAATTACCGCCAGACCCCTTTCGAGTCTACGTTCGAGGCCTTAATGAGAAAACAACAGAAGACTGCCTGCTGTTTTACTTGGAGAAATTTAGTAATGCAGAGGTTAAAGAGGTGATTCGCGGTTGCGATGGCAAAGCGATGGCTATATTTGCCGCTGAACCAGGTAATGACTGGCAAGTTCTCTTTCTACTTAATTATTTTCACCAGCAGCTGAACATCGAATTCAGTTTATGAATGGTTATAAAGCATATAAAGCACAAGTGGTTCAGTAGCGACCTTTCTCCTTATTTGTCGTTGTCTTATTAGCTTCAATGAAGTAGTAGTATAACTATCGTCCAGCAATCTTGGGTCTGGACAATAATACTTGTATTGGGTAACATTTCCCCCAGTACAGGTATAACTTTACCCTTCCAGAGGACTAAAATGTGGAGGCGCAAGGGGTCGGGGGAGGTTGAGCGGTAAGGCCGCTCTCATTGTCCGCCCACTTATTGTCCGGCGTGGCAATAAATGCAGAACCCACACACCATTTGCCCGCTGATCACATTCCAAACTGTATATCTATCAATTTTTGCAGAATTCCACACTCTTAAAGACAGCATTCTTAAATCCAGTTTGTTCTAAATGATGCTGTTGTGTTTTTGCTAGAGATTTCTCAAGAACGGATACTCGTATTTAATTACGATGTGCGTAGATGGGAAAAAAAAAATCGTTACTCCAGAATGATACCTCCGGTCAACAGACCGCCTAAAGCTATAAGAAATTCTCGGCAACAGCCTGATTGTAACCACCTGAAGTAGAAATAACATGCGCAAATTATAGCAAGTTGATTCATGCTCAACATGTGTTATATTTATTCCAGACTTTAAATCGCTTTTCGACAACGTTCACGGTGATGTTAGAGGCCTAGAAGGATGTAAACTTCGTTTGGAGCATGCGCCTGTATGCTCTTGTGTTTTAGTCAGCGGACTGAAGGACGACACTACAGAGGATACCATACATCTGTATTTTGAAAATAAGAGGAATGGCGGTAATGTTGTTAGCAAAGTAGAACGTGAGACGAAAAACAGTGCCTTGGTTTATTTCGAGGATCCATCAAGTAAGAAAACTTGAAGGTTTTTTTTATCGTTTATCTTCCCATGCTATAAGCTCGCTTGAGAACACTGACAAACCGATTAGGCTTTGAATGGATCAAACAACACCTTCAGAAGGCAAAACACGAATCAACTACAGATGACGTTTCTTTCATTGCCTTAAAAGTTTAGTGTCCGAGAGATGTAATAAACATGGTTATTGATGCATTGCAGGCACAACATGAAAAGTTTTATCAAAATAAATGATTCCCCCTGAAGTCACTTCTGTGTCATTTAATTACAGGCGTTCATAACGTCCTCCAAAGGAAACACACCCTTGAAGGAATTGAACTAGAAGTACAGCCATTTTATCATTTCCTTGAGAATGCAGTCACCAACAAAAAGGAAATACCGTTTGATGCCCATCTCTTTGAGCACATTAAAAGGAATCATGGACATGAGCTCCAAATACTAACCAACGAAAACAAAGTCGAACTGTTCATGGATGTAAACAAATCTTTTCTCATCATTTCGCCGTCTGATAAAAGAAAGATCTCTCAAAAGTCATGGCAAGACAGGTCTGGAAGTTTGGAAAATTTTTTACTGAGCTTCAGGAAAATTGAAATTCCACTTTCTCCTGAACTGTTTGATGAAGTATCAGAGCGGTGGCAGAAGGATCGTCCCAGAAAAGAGTCCTCCACTGATGTTATAAATTTCAGTAGACATGACCTATTAGTCCAGATTCTTGGCAAGGAGGACCGCGTGAATGAAGATGTGCGCAAACTGCAGGACTTAATCCTTGCCGTCGAAGAAGACGCGGAACTTATGAATTCAAAAGTCAAAGTGATCAGAGAGGGCATTCCAAGGTCTCGACTGCGTTTGCTGGAAATGACCGGCATTTGCCAAAAGCTTCAAAGAGAGCAGCAACAATTGAATATATCTATCGATCTAGACAACGAAACGCTGTGTTTGGATGGTCCCAGAAACCTTCTTAACGAGGTGCAAGCTGAACTATTTACATTTATGTCAAAGATGATTGAAAAGACCATCGAACTTCCGACGAACATTACAAGAGTTTTGAAAATGCCATCGGTGTCAAGTGTCATCCAAGATCTCTTAAAACAGAGTGGCGTACAAGCGATTTTTGTGCGCGATCAATGCAGCAGTTCAAATGAAGTTCAAGTTGTCAGCGCTGACTCACATAACGCAAAAGAAGCAGAAAAAGTTTTGCTGGGTGCTATCCAGGAAAATAGCATCCGCCTAACTAAAGAGAATGCTCAAGTGCTGGACAGTCGCCCATGGAAAGATTTCCAAACATCATTGACTTCCAAGTTTAAAGTTGACATTCTCGTCCAAATCCCATCAAACACCGTTTGGGTAAGCGGAATTGCGAAGGACGTAAAGCAATGCTATGATCAAGTTATAGACTTCTTACAAAAGAACACCATTCTACGTGATACCGTCCCGTTGGATCATGGGTCTACACGGTTTGTCTTCGAAAGACTGAGCTCAGAGATTGAAAAAATTAAAAGAGATCTCGCCTCTTGTTCTATTGATGTGAGAATGTCCTCCAGCTGTAGAGGCATAGACATTTCTGGTACCACTGAAGGGATTGATAAATGCCTTCCAAGACTTGTTGATCTAACAAAAAATATTCAGAAAGTCTCTGTTCCAATTGACAAGCCAGGGATGACAAAGTTCTTTTCTCAGGGTAAAGGGCCCAAATCTCTGAAGACAATAGAAGACAACAATAACTGTATCATCATCACAAGTGAGCGAAATTGGAACACAGCATCTCCAACAGATGAAGCAGGTGTAAAAGAAATGGAGTCATCAACTGGAGGATTCATATGCAGCTACCTCACTGTAGAGAGGAAGAAGATTTCTGTCTTCAAAGGTGACATAACGAAACATCGTGTAGATGCTATAGTAAATCCGGCTAATGAAGAATTAAAACACATTGGAGGTCTCGCCGCAGCCATAGTTAAAGTAGGTGGAACAGAGATCCAGGATCATTGCAAGAGGTTTATCGAAAAGCACGGCCTACTCCTAGAAGGTCGAACATTTGTTACCCCGGCAGGAATGTTACCATGTGATCGAGTAATTCACACGGTTGGACCTAAATGGGACACAGCAGCAGAAATAACTCTCAAAAATGGCATGAAAACACTGAAAGAACGTCTTCTTGAGATGGCAATCAGAAACAGTCTCAAAGAAGCAGCAAGTTTGAGGTCCATAGCTATTCCAGCTGTCAGTTCTGGCCAGTTTGGCTTTCCACGTGACCTTTGTGCAAAAGTCATCTTAGATGCTGTTGTTGATTTTTGCAAGGCAAATCCATCTTGCAATTTATCGGAAATTCATCTTGTCAACCATGATTCACCAACGGTGAAGGTGTTCGTGCACGAGATGAGGAACCGATTTGCCGAGGAAACGAATTTCATCCACAAGGAAAATCCCGCTCCAATGGGTTTTGGGGTTGACGTTGCGAGCAATCCACGACAGTTGCATCAAGCTTCAAGTTCTTTTAAAACACCAGAGGGCATTCATATCGCAGTTAAGGTTGGCGACCTTGCCCAAGAACAGGTAGGAATTTACAAATAGGAGTAGACTCTCATTATTGTATTCAATTTCTGTGCGTGCTAGTTGAGAAAATAAACTAAGGACATCGAATTAGCCTCTGATCTGATCAAAGTTAACAGACAGACAAGTTAGCAATGAGCCGGAGGTAATTTGGAACACTATGGTCTTAAAAAATCATTTCAGAGCGTCATTTGTTTGAAGAGATATAACTTGACTATATCAGTGGCCTGATATATTTCAGCAGCTTCTACGTTCGATGAAACTTTTGTCTTTCATCAAAGACTATTTTGCAACGCGAATGCAACTCCAGTTAACTTGATCATTTGCATCTGCATCTCATTTTGATGAGTAGCTTTTGTGTGCCTGATTATTTTCCTTCCACAAGCGTTGGCTATTTTTAGTTCTATGCTATGCAGTCTTGCCGTCTTGTTGTTTTTATTTTCTTTTACACCGACGAGAGAAACACTCTTGTATAGTGTTTTTGAGTTATTTTTTTGTAAAAAAAAATACCTCTTAGTCGGCGCGTCGGGTATGTTATGGACGGGTCAATGGGTGAGTGAGTGAGTGAGTGAGTG